ATCAAGGATGAGAACATTTCACCACGCAACAAAAAATGAACAAAAAAAATTACCGAAGCGGGTTAGGTGGGAGGGGAAGCGGCGGCGGGGGACGCAGATTCTGCGGGGGGGGGGCACTACTGTACCGCCTGTGCTGGGAAAGAGGGCACGGAGGGTTGTGGAGTACCCAAAAATCCGAGCGTTTTTGTTTTGACCCCACACGAGCACACGAAGGCAGGGTCTTTGCCGCGACCCTGGGGTGCACAGCAAGCAAAATAATGTCTTCTACAAGCACGCACGCACGCCTAATAAGACTGGCGTGATTGCCGTGTTCGGTCGGTTGGTCGTGGCACGTACATGTGACGGTGAAAATGCACATGCTCGCACCCAAACCCGCGCGCGATAATATTTTCCTTTCCGCGACATACTGCTGTGGTGTGGTGCTCGGTGTTGATGAAGGTCTGGTGGGTTGGGGGGCGTCAGTCACTCACCCCGCTGTAGTAGCCGTCTGCGTCCCCGATGTCGACGCCGGCGATGACGCTAGAGAAACGCTCGCCGTGGCCCTCTTCGTCCTGCTGTGATTGGATAGGATGAGATGGGATGAGAAGGGATGGGATGGGATGGGATGGGATAGGATGAGATGGGATGAGAAGGGATGGGATGGGATGGGATGGGATAGGATGAGATGGAATGGGATGGCATGGCATGAACCACGGAATAAACGCACCAAGCAAGCAAGATTGAAAGCCAGAAAGCAAGAAAGCAAGAAAGCAAGCACTGTGGTTCAAACACGAGAGAGAGATCGGACGGATGCCGCCTGCTGTCCAACAAGTTGCCAAAACGTACTCTGCTTCAAAACACGAGAGAAAGAGAGAGAGAGAGAGAGAGAGAGGATGCCGCTAGCCAGCCAGCAATTTGCCACAAAGTACTCTGGTTCAACGCGAGAGAGATATTGGATGCCGACAGCTAGCTGAGACAGATACAACACTGGCAACAGTACAGACCCTCGCAATTCTCGTTTTTATTACTTCTTTTTTAATCTCGTTAGTTAAAAAACACACACACACAGACACAGACACACAGACCTCGAAACTTTGTCCGTGCAACTGGAGGCTGTCTTCGGACCGCTTGGACTTGAGCAGCCTGCGGAATCGGGTGACGACGATCTCCAGGAAGTGGGACACCTGCACG